AGTCCTGTTTTGCGTTGGGGTTCTCTCCTGAGTCCCGCCAGCAGCGTCGACGGCTCGAACCCAGGGGTTGCAACACCTAAGGTTGGGTATAACTGGATGATGGCGGTTAATAAGTCAGAAACAGCCATTTTAGTCTCCCTTATGTTTGTCCGTATTGTCATTCTATTCTAGCGACAACCATTCTGTTAACTTCAGCATCATCAAGACCTCTAGTTTCTCTATCTTACTGGTTATTTACGCCAGCTGGTTGACGATTGGCTAACCTATGGGAAATATATTCCGGCACACTTCAGCCACCCTTATCATGGCCTGATAAATTTGACGGTGACCATGTTGTATGTGGCTTGCGTATGTGGGCTGTTCCGTTTGATCGACTTGTCCTTTTAAGGGGGATGAAGGAAGAACTCGGTAGATGCCGCGAACGTCTACCCCCCCTCCCCCAAAAAAACCTGTTACACGTAAGTCGTCGATGCGGCGCCCATTCTGAGAGGCACCTGGTAAACTTCGTCGCTTGTGACAATCGAGCTGTCACTGGTAGCAACCTTTACGACGACGTATCAGGTATCGCTATCAGCTCTGCTGGTACGTGCATTCAAATCCACGTCAAATGTGATGTCTTTGGAAAGAATTAGGGGACAGCATCTGCTCTCTACGTTATTTGCGTCGAGCGTATATACATGGACAGCAACAACACTCAAGTAATCAACCAGTTCCTTCACTTATGCGAAGAGACAGATTCTCACGCCGTAAGCATCTCGTTAATCTCCTAGTATAGTGCGAGTGCAATCAAGTCTGCTACAGTTTTAACATATTATAGTTTAACGGAACTGACAGAGAAGTGTGATTTTGGTAGTTTTATTATTCCTGTGCCGGGGTCGGCGAACGTCAGTATCGTAGAAAAGACACGCACTTTCCGACAGGCAGGAAGGATTTCCTCTTTTTGACAAATAATACTAATTCACACACACCTTAATTCCGGTGTACTGCTGGAGGTCCAGCCTCTCTGCATCTCGCAGACCCCCCTATCATGAGTCATATTCAGTAAGTGTTGTTGATCATTGAGGATTCGGGGGGATGTGGGCTCAGACGAGGTCAGGAGATAATTTCCACTTTTGTTTTGCCCATTTTCAGGGTGGAATAAAAGCCGTGGTCTGGACCGATCTCATTCAGGTTACAGTCATGCTGGGAGGTCTTATCTGCGTCCTGGCTTTTGGTGCAAATCAAAGCGGTGGTATGGCGGAGGTCTGGCGGATCGCCGGCGAAGGCGGCCGCTTAAATATACTTGAGTGAGTTCCCTCCTCTGTCACTAACTCACTCTCTCAGGCCCCGCCTTATTCATTCACTCCAGGAACACGGGGTGGTCATGAAGAGCTTGTTCTTGCTACCTCACCCCCTCTTCCCTACATAGACTGAGGAATCTACAGGATGTCGCAGCGCGTGCAGCCTGTATCATTGAAGACAAAACCGGCCCAGTTCACTTGGAGCATTTTTTTCAAAGGAACACTGCGTGACTGCCTTGTTCAGTTGAATGCTGAGTCACCAGCATCATTCTGGACTTTGTTCAGTGTTCACCATCATCTTCCCCCTCAAATACATCTCAAAGTCGGGTCTTGATAGGCCTATAGATACGTCTCAGAAGTTTGTTCCCTTTTACTAAAACCGTTTCCGAGCAAGTGGTTTCACCTCGTCCATACTCTTTTTTGACTTTATTCTGGTCACTTCCCCCCTCCGCCCTGCTGGGTAGGGATGAGCAAGGCTCACTAGGTAATTTTATTTGCCATTGAGGTTGAAGGCAGCAAACCACCCTGGGCGGGATGTGTCATCTCAAAAGCACGATGCTAATAAGGGGTATTTATTTTTAAGGTCCATGCTGACCCCTTAAGCACCCAGCATGTTCACCTTCCCAGGACCAGTTTCGCCGGGGAAAACAACCATGTGTTTGCTCCAACAGTTGTCTAGACAGCAAATGTTACTGACCTACTGAATGTCTGCCTGCCTGCCGTGTAAAGTCAAACCTCTTTCTTTTCAGTCTCAATCCAGACCCCTTTGTTCGGCAATCAACATGGACTCTGGCGATTGGTGGTGCTGGTATGGTCCTCAGTATCTATGCCACCAACCAGACTCAAGTTCAGCGCTATCTCGCCTGTAAAGACCTAAGAACAGCTCGAATGTAAGTTTTCGATGTCATTATGTTGCTGGATAGCAGTTTGTTTCGCCTGATTTCCCGACTAGAACGCTTATAAAAACGTAGTTTCCTCCTTTATTTTCGAAGCACAAAAATGATTTACCAAATGCATTCCTTGATAAAACTGTCAGGGTTTTTTAATACTGTCGCCTGTGAATATTGTTTTGCCCATGAATAGGAGAGGACTTCTCCGAAGTCTATAAAGTTTAACCTCAAGCATCCCATATTCGCCCTTAACAAATCTGGTTTATTCATCTGTGAACATGAATCTCTTGATGCGGGAAAACAAGTGACGTCTACCAACAAATTCCATTTTACGAGTTTTGCTTTCAGGGAAGATAAATTTAAAATCACTTTCAAATGTTCTGGTTGAAACCCCTCTACTTACGCCATGCCCGTCATAAAACTCAAACTTTTAACCCACCTTCAGTGCTTGCGGTTGAAGAGTATATGTGGCAAACACTGCATCCATTCTGTGGCAAATATCGCAGCGAGTTTTCAAGTTATCTTCCCCTTCAAACTCGACGGAAAAACACCTACCTTGTGAATACAAGCAAACATGCGAGTCCCAGGAAGTAATTGAGAAGTAGAAGACAACTCGATCGCCGGGACACTATGTTTATTTGCCTGACGTTTCGAAATCCGTCGCGGATTCATCTTCAGAGAAATACTCACAGAACCGTAGCAGAAACAGTTTGTGTGTTGAGACTAAATTTGGCCAAAGCAACTCTCCGTACGCAGAAACAGGTTTGTCCAGCACCAGTAATATTACGATAAGGGCAGGACTAACAGTAGTGCGAACCCAATTCTTCTTACGGGTTTGCCGTGATGAAAATGCCAAAACCACCTAACAAGTAAGAAAGCCTAGTAATCATTTGGTGGTGATTGCTTAGGAAATCCTGCCTGGGCAGTCAGCTTGCTGTTCTGTAATTGTGGATTACATACAAGCACTAAGTTGGGCGGTTACAATCGATCCAACTGTGATTAAATTAACAGCTAACGGTGAGCCTCGTACCTCAATGGTAGAACGTTGGTTGCGCAAAAAGCCTTCACACCGAGGACCCGAATTTTTCCCAATTGGGTAAACTGAAAATGGAAATTCGTGTAACGTCCTCGGCTAATAACATATATTACAAGAGGGGAGCATTCTAAGAAGCAGACACCTTTCAGTATGTATAGGTAATTTTAATCTTATTAGCCATTAAGAGTTCCCTTTCTGTCTGACTGCTAGGTGTAGCCCTGCAGTCAACAGTTCACGTTCCGGGAAGACGTTAGACTTGTGGTGTCGGGTGCTTTCTCACCCGAAGAAAAGAAAATTGACAGATTTTTCACTATCAACGACAATCCTTTGGTTTCTAATGACTGGTCAGTCCGTACTTACATCGACCACGGAATTTTTCATTCAGAACAAACCTTTTAATTCAGAAGGAGGCATTCTATCGGTTGAAGGCACCTGTCTTCACTGTAGGAATGAACAACGATTGATCCTAGAACTTCCAAATGCCTGGATTACTCGGTTCCCAATCACCTTGTTCACGTTAGTTTTTTGCATGTCACGCTCTTAACAGTCAAATATCCAGGAACCCCTACCATCACGAACCCTACCTCCTTTCGCTCTTTAGGCAAACGTGTGCGTTCATTTGTCCGGAGTTGAGCGAATATGCAGAACGGGTTAGACGTTTCAAGAACACTTGACACGTTGTACGCCAGCTCTTTTTTCAAATTTATGCTCTCGTTAAGGCTATCACACACATGCATTGTCAAGTGCGCCAGTGTAGCGGCCGAAGATGTTGGGGTTGGCATACACCTAAAGGAGCAGCTCACCTGTTCATGTCTCCGGATGTAATATCGAATGGAGTTGTTAGTCACTACAGGCACACACACCTATAGGTTCGAAGACGAATAACAGGCAGGTAGCTAAAAGTCTACTATTGTAAGTAGAACAAGGGGATTGGATATCGGTGCTAAATAAAGCCAGGGTTATATACAAAGGATTCGTTTGGACTGAGGGGTTGTTACGGAATATCAGGTAGATGCCGATTGGGAGGGCAGTGCTGTGGGAAGCTGCGAGTGAAGGCCATGGCGGTGCTTACGGTAATGGGACTGCGATACGGAAAGATATGAGAGGACAACAGCAGACTAGATTACATTTCTGTTGGATGGGCGCGAAATTGCTCAACTACGTATGTTGTCCAGACCAGATTTTCTTTCAGAACGCTGTTTTGGACGGTACTTTCAGGTCTTCGTCTTGGGAGGACGTGTAAGAAAGGAAGCGATCCTTCCTTTCCCACCTCCAACGTGAATTTAATTGATGGGTTTGCTTAATTGACAGCATTTAAGATTGCACCTATATCGATTTCTGTTGCAGCGATGGCAAAGTTATCGTCACAGTAGCAACCATGGTATTTTAGCTTATTGATCTGATCTTTTAGTTTAAATTGGCTAAGAGGGGTCCAAGAGACGAGACCATAGTAGCACCATCTATTTGCCTGTACAGTTGGTTGTCAAGACGGAACTGCACATTTAATGTGAATCTTATTACTAGTTGCTTTAGTGCATCCATCGGTATTTCTATTTTCGACTGATCTGTCACTAGGAATTCGCAAATATAATTGACTGGTGGGTGACCAGGACATTCGTAAACGATGATGGCATGTCTAGAGAGAGAATAATCATACCGTTTAGCTCCATGTGCTTGATGTCGTCGATAAGTTCGAAGGTTTCTCGATAGCCATGTGATGCCAGCTAATGCTGTAAAGATTTGAGTTTCCCTGCTATCCACTTCCCTATCGCATGATACGGCGAATTATGCATGTTCAAAATCGGACGAACTGGTAGACCATCCTTGTGGATCTTCGGTAGACCGTACAAACGGAGGATATGAGTGCCTAATGGTTGGAGACGTTCGAGATCACAGTCGCTTATGAAACCTCCTGCATAGAGTCTTCTTAAACAGTGGGTCAGCTCTGCCTCTACTTCATTCGTGCACTTTCTTGAATTTCGTCTGGTTTGACTGTAGCTTCCTCATGTATCCCGGTATGTTCATCATAACGACGCCCGTTCCTTTACCCAGTCTAGCGACCAAAATGTCTTTTTTTCTCTCGGTGCTGTTTTAACTTCTCTTTGTGTGCTTTTACCAGCAATCCCTTGTTTTTTTGGTCTCCTGTTCAGACACTGGTAACTAAGATTCACCAGTATTGATAGGCTTTAGATTGTAAGTTTGGTTGTAAAGAGTCTCGAACTGGGTGTCTTATCCTAACAGAGTAACTTTTCGATCAGGCATGCAGAATTTGTGTACGTGCCGAGAAATTATAGATTGAGAAATTATAGATTGTGGTTTCATTTCGTGCACCATCTGAAGAAGTGACGATCTCTTTGCGTCTGTACGTTTTCTAACTGTGGTCTGAGAATATAGTCTTTCGTCCTCTATCAAGGTTGCGTGCTTAACCGCTGTTCCCTTTTTGGTCTACTAACATTTCTGCCCCTAGTTACCCCTTTACCGATAGCTAGAGATGACTCGTATTGCCGCCTGAACAGAACACGAGAACAGGAAGCGCCCGCAAGGCAGGTGGCCTTGTGCTAAATTCCGGTAAACTTAGGTTTAGGATTAAGGTTAGGGTTAGGGCCGGAGTTTTTTTAAGGGTTAAGGTTTGGGTTAGGGTTAACTTCAGGGATTGAACTTAGGATAGGGTAAAGATTAAGACTAAGGCTGCAATTTAGTTCTGCGAAGACATGGGTTAAGACACCGGGATATTTACCCCTCCTGAAAATTACAGCAACGTCACCTATCTTAAGTGGGCGGGGCCTTCTTCCTTCCGTGTCTTGTCTAGGCGGCTAGACAAGGCATCCCTACCCTTTGGTTTCATGTATACTTACAACTGCATGTTCTGTTTCTCTGTTACTACCTTAAACCACTTTCTACTAGTTGTAAGCCACCGTCTTTTTCCTGTTTGCGTACAGGTATATAAACTAATATTTTTTTTTACAAAAACCACCCCCTCTTTCCCGGCTGTCCGCCACATCACACAGTTTTTAAAAAGTCGGATGCGACTGGAGGACCTGATGATGTTAATTAAACGCGGCTGCGCATTCTCCATCCCTCTTATGAAATACGTGTAGCCTGGTGTTTGGAGGGTTTTGTAGTAGACACGTCAAAAGAAAGTAAAGGCGTTGTTCATATCTCAGTGCTAAAATGGGGAGATCAGTCAATGCCAGTTATATTTCTCTCCGTATGCAAATGTGGGGGCTTAAATTGTATTTATGATCTATTAAGGACGTGCATTCTCCACAATCACCTGAATTACCTCATGTTCATTGCTTTGTAATCTAGAGTCCCTTAGAACTGGCTCGTGGTTTGTGGCGGAAAGGTGTGTCTACCAGAATGAGCATTTGTTTTAAAAATGGAAATTAACCTATGTTGGGTATTTTTTTCTAACAAAATGTCAGCAAACTAGTGTCTGAAAATTACCGGCGAATCGGCGAATGCTCTTTTGGAACCGATGAGACAATTTTGGTCTACCAGCAGTCTACCTCGAAACCGGGCTCTATGAACTTAGAGACGAGTATTGACAGTCAGTACACCTTTCTGTGATCTATTGTATTGCATTTACCCAAGTATAGTTTAGTTACACAAGGAACCTTTAATTTCGTTAATCAGCAGAGTATATATTCTATGCAGGCTGCTGAATATGCATTTCGGATCACAATCGAGTTCAACAAACGTCATATTGGTTTTCGGGTTTGTTTAACAGTTAAGATGCGTTACTGCCGCAAATAGAGTTGCTCCCGCCCTCATCGATA